GTCTCTCCATGAGTGTACCGTACCTCAGCTGTGTATGGTGCGGGTGGCGGTGGCGGCAGCGCAGCGTGTGCGAGTCCAGCGATCTTGATGGTGAGTCGATTGAGGTGCTCCAGGCCCATGTCGTTGGCAGGCCGGTTTTTGTTCTTCCGCCGGCCGACCTCGCTTGCCAATGTCGAGAACGTCTGCAGCGCTGTCTGAGAGACGCAAATTAAGGCAACAGATCAGAGAGGATGTGGCGTCATGGTGCATGGCGTCACACACGTACCTTCCTGCACGCATCTGATTTGCCGAGGTTGGACGAGAGAAACTCATCCACCTGCAGCTCGACCAGCCGGCTGACCGACACCACCTGGGACAGATCCCTGACGCATCCACATCACACATAACACACCATTACACGCGTGGGGGCGTGCCCTTCTCAGCCTTGTCTCACTTACCTGAAGACCTCCAGTGCCGCCCTTAGCAGTGCCTCGCCGCCCTCTTGCCCCAGTGAGGTCAGGTACCCCCCGATGGTGTTGAATATGTCGTTGCATGCCTGCTGCAGTCCGCTGACGATCTCCAGCCGCCGCCGCTGGGGCAGACCACGGGTCCGTGGTCGACTCATCACTGCACTCCTGAGCCAACTCGCGAATCACACCCATCACGATACTCGCGTGGGCGGCACTCGTGCGACCTGCACACAGGCAGACAAAGATGAAGACAGACAGACAGAAAGACAGACAGACGGGCAGGTTGTTTGTTTGTCTGTTTGTCGTGCTGACCGGCATTGAGGAGGCTCGGCATCAGGTCCTGCCAGCACTGGGGCCACTCCCGCCGCGCCACCTCGGCGAAGGCCACTGCACACTTTTGCCGCACAATGGGCGATCGAAGACGGTCGGCCGGCAGCTGAGTGAGGTAGGAAAGCAGCACCGCCTTGACCGATGCCCTCTGCTCCGGCGTCCACCTCTGCCACTGCCTACTGATGGCCTCGCGGAAAAGCGTGTGGCCGAAGAACTGCACCCGCTCGAGCAGGGCGGCATCGAGCTGGCTGCCGTCGTGTGTGACGAGTCTGTGGGCGATCTCACAGGCGCTAGGGTGGTCATAGAGTGAGGTGCAGTGCTGCTCGGCAACGACGCGGTCAGCATGCGAGACGTTGGGCTGGCCGGAGACCCTCAACGCTTCGATAACCGACCGCACGCTGGCATCCATGGCCGCTGGATCTCCAGATCAGAGCAGTAAAGGATGAGAGCGCCGTAGAGCCGTCCGTCGAGGCAGATCACGCCTTCAGCTCATGCATGTAAGTCTGCAGATGGTCGCCATGACTCCAAACCCTTAAGGCCACACCAAC